ATAATCTAAAATAACAGTTAATCGATTATACAATACAGTTTTTCCCATTACTAATTGTCGTCAAGGTAATGGGGTTTCGAAACACTTTTAAGTCTCCCATCACTGTTATTTCCTTTGCTTACATGTCAGACAACTTTCAGTTGGTCTGTTTTTACTATGCTATCCACATCATTATCCCGTAGTTCTTTCGTATTATATCCAAACTTTTAATTATTTTTGAAATTAACGGGGCTCGGAGTTTCCTCGCTTTATAATATTTTTTTTCCTAAAATACGTTTTCAGTCCTCTCTTTTGTAGATAATTTTCACTAATGTCGTTTTAAGCGTCCTATCAACATCATTTCTAAGGTATACAATTCTGGACAGTAAGAAATCAATGTGCAAACACTGCTTCTAGAGCGGAAGCGTCACACAAAATCACGACAAGAATATCGGCTGAGCGAAAAATCACTGCAACCTCTTTTGATAATGTGTTCTAAACTCAATTAATTATTTTATTTTTTTGAGTGGACCAAGATCAACTAACATTTTAACTCGTTATTGGGTATAAATGCTCATAAATAGAATTTAAATTTTGTAAATACTACTCATGGTATTTTATCATACCAAGAAACAGGAACGTATTTCATTCACATTGAAGGTGTTATAGACTTTTTTATGGCTACTATCTTATCTTCTGTCAGGGGTATTCCGAACATTAATTACAAGATCGAAATATCTGACCACCTTTCCCCAATTTTATTTTATCTATAGTCGTCGGCCCAGTCAAATTTTCTTGTTATAACTTCTAAATTATTTAGGTGATCAAAATTATTCCCTAGAAGTGATTACATCGTCTAAAAAACACTGCCCATAGGAAATCCTTTTAACACATTTAGCATAAAGCATTGAAATATATTCGGTGAGCTAGTCAACCCATAGGGAATTCTTAGGTATCGATAATAACTTACATGAATCAAAATTACTAAAAGATCCATACATTCCGGACTAACTCCGATAGGAATGTGTCTCTAAATCTATCGTCAAAATTTTTTTACCACCTTATCCTATTAGTTAATATCTACTAAAGTTGATAGTAAATTGTTATCTTTTGCGGAATATTTATTGATTGTTAAACGAAAATCTTCGCATATCGGCACGGCCCGTATTTCTTTAAGTTAATTATCGCTAGTATCACCCAAATAATTGGAATTGTTGTGGTGGCATTCACATTTTTGATGATGCCTTCATCTAGGAATCTGTCCAACTCATCTTCTATTCATAAACGCAGAAGAATTGTAACTCTTCTTGCTTGTAAAGCAATAGGTTTTGCGTTCGGGTTTACGCGGACAACTGCTTGTTTGAGTTTTAACCTGAGGAAATATTGATATAATCGTATTAAATCTAGGAACAGTTTTAATATTTTATATTATTTATCCGCACTTTTTTCCGAAAGCTTTATGTTAAATTTTCTAGTATTTCAAAATTAAGGGAATTTTTTCCTTTAATTACCCAAAACTTCGATTTTAATATTGTCATACCCTGCAAGTTTAAACTCAGGAAGTATTGGTTTTCTAGTATGAGTCCAGACAGCTTAGTCTATCATATTGCAAGCAGTGCCTGTGTCGAATTCCAACAGCAAACCATTTGTCTTCATGTAAACGGTAGTTTAGCGAGGTTTTTGGTTTTTAAACAGAAATATTTTTTAAAAATTCAAAACAAATAATTTTCTTTTTTTCCAATTCTTACATTCCAACTACCCATTTTCTCCTAGATCAATATAAATTTTATTTAATTTCTAACAAGCCCCCCCCCCCCATCCCAATTATATTTTACTTGATTATTCAGGCTATTATATACTAGGCCATTATACCCCATGACCTTTTCCTACATGCCAACATCTTCCCATACTTTGCTACCACCTTTATCTATTCTATATTTCACTTTTTCTTCATCTAAGTGTCTATCTCCTTTTCAATAACTTTTGATCCTATTCAAACATTATAACTCTGAAAAATATATATCGTATCTCTTACCTAGTTAATATGAATAATTTTTATTATAGTTACAAGGTTATTGATCCAGAATGAGTCGAATGAAAAATACTGGTAATGAAAACATAAATTTTAAAAAAGGTATTTTAATAGTAAATATATTAGGTGTGTCTTTGCTACATTTTTGGTCAAATACATAGTAAAGTTGCTTGTTACAACATCAGTTTCAATAAATTAATAATTTTGTAAATTAGGTTGTTTAAACCAAATATTATTTTTGAATTTTAATGTAAAAATATAAAATTTAATTGTATTAAATAGATGGCGTTAATACATTTAAATTTTGTAATACCAGTTGCTAACCAATAGATCTTTATCCATTATTATTTTATAAATATCCCTACGAGAATTATATCTAATCACCTTTACTAGAAATTGCAAACAAATTTTGAAATTGCAGTTTATATAAAACTTTAAAAATTATTATTTAGGCGACCACGTTGTAAATCTAATTTTTTTAAAATATATACCTAATATTTTCAGGGAACGCAAGGTAAAGGAAAACCAAAAAATATATTTGAAATCTTTTATTTAATTCATCTTTAAATAAAAGGTCATTAAATAAATTTAAAAGAAAGAATTTTTACGAAAAGGTCATTAATTACAAATTAAAAAATATGCAAAATTTATATATTAACATTTCCCCCTTTTTCTTTTAATGTCTTCTTTCCTCAGTTTCTTATCTTCATTTCCAGTCATTTGTTTCTCAATTGCACCATTAGTCATTTGTTCGTATATCTTTAGATTGTTTGTTTGACCATCTGATTATCGTTTGTTGAATCGATTATCGAACATCATGAAACATCGTTGGTTGCACGTCGTTGGTTGAACATTGCTTGTTGATTTGCTGTTTGTATTGATCATCCCATTTCTCATTTTTATTTATTTATAACAATCATTTTCTATGTCGTAGGTCATATTCTCGCTTTTGAACTTGACTTTGAATTTTAGAATTTTGAACTTGACTTTGAATTTTCGAATTTTGTTGAACTTGAACTTGTTGACTTCTTCCTCTAAAAATATCTTCATTTTTTGTAGTAGAATTTGCATTTGATATTTTGTTCGTTGTTTAGCCTGAGTCATATCTTTTTCATTGGTTTGTTCGCATCTTGTTATCTTTATCGTCTAATCATTGCTTGAATATCATCCTCACATTAGCTTGTTCATCTCGTTATTTATTATCATTTTTATTTATTTATCAATGTTTGTAAATATATATTATGATCAATATATCTCAAATAAAATAATTTTGGAATAATTGAAAGATAATGGAATAAATAATTTATCAGAATCATTTATAAGAATAAGAATCATAATTTGGAATATAGAATAATAGAATATTTGGAATTGTTTCATTTTATATTATAATTTTTTATATATTATTTAATTATTTTTATTTTTAAATTTTACTCCTTTATTTTTCAATTTAAACACTTTTTTATATCATAATTACTCTTCAACTTGTTCTTTATAACAAAATTTCTCTTTCTCCTTCCATTTTCAACATACGATCTCCATATCGTACTCTTAATCTCTCTTTCAACATCACGATATTTCACCTTAATATTTGTTTTAATTTTCTTTATAAAATTTTTATTAATTATAAATTTTTTTATTTTATTAATTTAATTAATTTCTTTAATTTTTATTTCATTATTGTTTTTAATCACTATTATTTCATCAATTATTATCATATGATTTATTTCTTTTTTAACATTTGGTATTAATTTACATAATTAAATTTTATTCAAGTTTTTATTATTATGATATTTATAATTATAATTTTCATGCTTTTTATTGTAATATGTATACTTTCATAATTTTTACTATCTACTTTATTTTCCTCAATTATATTTACAATTTTATTAAGTATGTTTCCAAAAACTTTTATCCACGTCCTTCCCTTAATTGTAATCTTGTCATTTTGGACTACATACGCATTTAAGTTTTGAGTTTTGTCCATATCTCACTTTTATTTTAACGATTCCTAGCACCTCTATTCTTCTCCCATCATAGCCAGTCAGTTTCGTATCCGATTTATTTAAGACTTTAATTCCTATCTTTCTAGTAATATTAATCGGCAATTTGGAAAATCGTGACCCGGTGTTGATCTGCATGACAATTGGTAAATCATTAAGGTATATCGTAATTTTGTAATCATCATTTGCCTTGTCATCATCATTGTTGTTGTATGACTGATTATTGTTCTGATTATTATTGTATCATGTATCTCGATTCGTTCTGATGTCTAAAATATCTATAATTATTTTCATTATATTTGTAATTATCATTATTATTATATCTATAGTTATTTATTTTTGAAATTTATGGGTGTCATAAAATAATTAACATTTTTTCGAAGGGGGGGGTACTTTTCAGGGGGGTATTCTGCTTCGTTCGCTCAGTAAGTGTAGGGGCCACTGCATTTTTTAAGTTATTTTATAAACCTTTTAAATTATTTGCACAGTTTGTAAGTAAAATGCTTTCTTAATATTAATTTTATGATTTTATTTTTCTATTTAAAAAATTTATATAATAACATTTATAATGAATATATATATATATACTATCCAAAAAATTTATATACTATCTATAAAAAATATCAGAGTTGTTAAAGTATCTAGATACAAGTATCTAGATACTGTATTTAGATATAAAAATGTAGTATCTGTATCTGTATCAAGATAGATTTTTTAGAAAGGTATCTGTATCTAGATATTTATTTAGAGGTATCTGTATCTTTTTAGATACTTTTTAAGATACATTTTATATACCCCTTTTTTTATTGTAAATAAAAATATTTGACTGTAAAATTTATTTTATTTCATATGAGCTTATGAAATAAATAAATATATATATATTATATATTAATATTTATTAATACTATAATAAAGAATTATATATACATAAAATATTAAAACTTATATATAAAAAATATATATAAATATTCATTAATTTAAATATTATGTCCGAGTTTATCAATAAACCATACAAATTTTAATATTACAATATGGAAATGGTAAATTTTATTTTATAACTAAATTTTTAAGTTTATATATTTATTTAGATCTATATCGATGAAGAAGAGGAAGCAACAAGTTCTATTGCTTTACCATGGCCAAATTGAGCATATTTTAAAATAATATCTCAAAACAAAGAAAACAATTAATTCTCTGATGGTAAAAGGTTTGCCGTGTCTACCTAAAAATACAAAAATATCCGTCAGTATGACTTCAACGTGCAATATCGTGAAGCACATAAGGGTATAGATATTATATATTTAAAATTCTAATTAAAATTTTAAGAGAAAATATCCAACCTTGTTAACAAAAATAAAAAAGGGGTGAATTATCAAAGTCATCAACTGACTGCAAGCAAATAACCTGCCAAAAAAAACAAATAATTTAATTTCAGATTTTTTTCAGTACCCTACAGCAGATATAATTTCTAATAATGATTTAAATTTTGATAATCAACAAATTTTAAATAACTTTTTCAAAAATAAATGTAGAGATTTTAGCATTTTTAAAGAACTGATATAAAATTGTTATTTATTAAATATAACACTACAATTCCTTCAAGCGCCCCTGTGGAAAGACTATTTAGTGTTGCTAAAAATGTCTTCACAGATAAACGAGGATGCCTAAATGATCAAAATTTTGAAAATATTTTATTACTGAAATCTAATAATTATTTAATCATATATTTTCATATATTATATTAAAATTATAATTTTGGTTATATTCTGATAAATGTTATATCGCGTCAATAAATTTTTAGCTCATTTCATGAATTTTCACAATATAATATTAATTTAGGTTTATGCAAACCTATAAGAGCATAAAAAATGTATCTGTATACAGATACATTTAAAAATTGTATCTGTATCTTGATAACTTTTTAGACGCTGTATCTGTATCTGTATCTAGATAACTTTTGAGACTATGTATCTGTATCTAGATCCATTTAAAAAGTATCTTTTAACAACTCTGAAAAATATATATAATTTTTTAAAAAAAAACTATCTTTGGTAAGACATTATGACTGAATGATATATGTATAGAAATACGATTGTTTCACTTTGATGAAAATATTGGCCTTAAGCAAAGTCTCTCCTTTTGATAGTTGTCGGGGTTGGAGCCTGAGGGCTCCTATAAGAAAGGAATATTTATAGCTCTCAACATTATTGATGATCAACTGATGGCATAGGGCTTATATTATGCCCCTTTTTTAAATGTGAAAATATAGAGAATGGTGACCTAGACTACCTATATGATTTTACATAATGCACACTTCGTTAATAATGGATTCGAGCCTAATCAACCAATAGCAATTCTAAGCTCTTTGTTGGAAATCTAAATTAGAACTAGGCATTGTAGGGATTAGCAGAAATGGTAGCTTTATTATTTTATAGTGAATTCCAATTTATAAATAATGATAATAATCTTTTTAAAAAATAATTTTCTTTTTCTTGTTAATATAACAGTCAAATAAAAAAGGAAAATGTATGATTTTTATATATAACAAAATATCGCCTCAGAACAGTTAATTCGAATTTTCAAAAAAGATTTTTAAACTTAGCAAGAGAGAAGAAAAATATTAAAACAAAGTTTTAATTTTGTAAATATTTTAAAATTAATTTTTTTTTGATTATATTCAACAATCAGCATATAATCATCTCTAACCAAGCCCAATTGCAAATAAAAAATTTAATATAAAAACTATAATTTTTTGTTGCAAGTGAGTGCAAGTTAGAATTCTTATGGAATCTAAATAAAAGAAAGAATAAAATATATTTAAATAAATTAGGATAAATATATATATAATATAAAAAGAAAACGAATTAATGAACTTGACGATTTTATTTCGATAATGAATAAATATAAAATTTAGAAAAAATTATAATAAAAAATTTAATGATCGCGAATGGTAAAAAATTAGAGTCTTTATACTCATAAATTAAATTATTTACGGTTATCGCTATTCAAAAATATATTTAAACAATTTATAAACTAAAAAAAACTAAATATTCAAATCTATTTTCAATTTGCTTTTTTCTGTTTATCATTAATATAATCTACCATTAAACATGAAAATTACACAAAATAAAATTTGAATATATCGACAAATATTATAATATAATTAAACGTACTTATAATAAGAAAAATTTGAATATATCGATATGTATTATAATATAATTAAACGAACTCATAACAAGAAATATTTGCATAAATAAAATAATATTGTCTAACTCTCTACATAATCACGACACCTTCTTCCTTAAATTTGTCGTTCCTATTCTATTGACTCTTCGGCTAAATTCCCTTTAATCACCTCTTCTTGAATGGGCCGGGATACTACCGAACTGTCATTAGCTACATATAGTGACGGGCAAACTCGCATTAGGTGATTGCCTCCGCATGACCAACAATCGATCTTCCTTTTCTTGGAACCTTCGGGCACCCATCGTCTCTCTGTTACTCTTGTTGGTTCTTGCAACATCTCACCGTAACGATTCTGAACTTCTTCCTAGCCGCGTATAACCATCTTCTGGATTCCACCGTCCCGTCTATTCCTCTAATTTCTATTTTAATGATCTTATTCCCAATTCTAAAATACGACGCCATCTATAAACGAATTTAACTATACATGTATAGCAATATATATATCACCCTCACTATTATTATAATCCTAACTCATGATATCTCTCTCAATTGCAACTTTATTGGCTTGTTACTGTATATGATTATCATAATGTCCTTCAACATCATTTAAAATCAAGATTCTCATAATTGTCACTTGTTACCACAAACGAATCGATTATGTTTATCAACAATTTTAAAATTTCTACAGTTATGATTCTCATAATTTAACCGTTATTTAACAACAACTCAATCATATATATCATCAACATTTAAAATCAAGATTCTCATAATTCTTGTTACCACAAACAAAACGATTATGTTTATATATAAACATAACATTCATCTTTATAAAGTTAAAAATTTGTTATCAAGCAGTCAAGAATTCGTCTAATCAAAATATCAGTTCAAAATTTTAACGTGGGCTTGAAAAGAATGATAAGCATAGGATATGAGGTTGGGAAGGGATCTCAGGGTTTCTATCTGCAGTATTTTTCAAGGGAGTGGCCCCACCCTCCCCTATTTAGAAGACAATAATTACATCAAGTGAGGTGAGAAGTAGTTAATTTTATTTGGTTTATCAGCACAAATCTGGATTGAAATATTATGTTGTTAAGTAATAAATTATTTAGTGTTTAATTTTTTTCAACGAATAATCAAGGTAAAATTTAAATACAATTTGGTAATATATCGAGAGGTAATTTTATGACATTCGTCTTTCATATAATATATGATAAAACTATAGATAGAACACGGTTGATCGCTTATTAGGTAGAAGAGTTGAACGATATCACGAATTACTTGTATCTAAGGTAAAAAAAAATTTTGTGAATATATACTTTGTTTTTTTTTTTTGAAATTTTTAATATTCATCACCTTATTTTATCGGGTTGAATAAAATTCCCTTTGAACAATATTGGATATAGAAATAATAATCTTTTAGTGATTTCAATTTGTTGATTGTATATTTGTTTAATATTAAAAAATCTTTTTGTAATAACACCCCCTTAGACTCAATAGAATTCATAACGAACTCCTCTCAGAATTTATGAACTAATATCATCAAATATATATTTGTCGATGATACATTACTAGTAACCAATAATCACATATTCTGCGAGTATTATAATTGTCAAAATATCATATTTGATTGTGGGTCATTCACCATGCCTTTATAGATTTTGTGAATCACGTATTTACCTTGACCGCTTTGTCGATTCATTGCATAGAAGGAATAGATAGACTTCTTCATAAAAAATATCTTATATCTCTATCTAAAATATATTTTCAAGGACTTGTACTACCCTTAAGTTATGTTATGTGTTTTAAATGTTAGATTTAATTTGCATAAAGAATTCTTTTGGATTTTGTTGTACTTTATATTTAATTTGCATAAAGAATTCTTGTGGATTTATTGTTATAACGCGTGATAAAAATATTATATTTGAATAGTTATGATTATTAGTTATAAGAAGATTGAAAAAGAGTATAAAAAGGCCAATTTTTACCATACAAAGGATCTTTTTTTAATTATTAACTTTTTTGTATTTTATGTTTATTTTATTTTATTTTCTTTTTTTATGATTTTTACTATTATAATTTTGTTAATTTGATAATGTTATAATTTTGAATAAAGAATTAAAGTGGATTTTATGATTTCGTGATTCCTAATTATTATTAATTTCCTTTATATATATATATTTGTTTTCTATTTTTATATTTAGGTTCTTAAGCTCCAATGTCAATGCCTCATTGTGACAATGGTGTTGGAGAGCGGAGGAGACCGGCCCTTTACAACTTTCAGTCTGTGGTATTATGTAAATTTAATATTGTACGAAATTTAACATTTTTATATTTGAATAATAATAGTTTAATTTTTATATGTTTATTCTTCGAAAATTAGTAATAGTTGTACTAGATTTTACATTTTTATATTAAAATGGTAATATTTTTATTTTATATTTTTATTCTTCGAAAAATTATTATATTTAATATGCAAATACTTATGTATATATAAATAATTCAATTTTCAATAAAGTGGTCAGTGTGAAAAATTTAATAAAGAAAAAGTAAGACCACAATTTAATAAATTAGAATTATTTAAAAGAGTTTACATTATATATTTTAGGTGTGCTCAAAAGTAAGTGGTTAGCAATCGTTATTATTAAAATTAATCTTTTATTTTAATTATATAGATTTAATACACCTTTGATTCTTAATTAGCTCTCCCAATACTGCATTAACACCCTGAGTTAAGTTCGGACTTGTAACAATTTGGACCGAAGTAAATCAGGGCCTGTTAGATATTCACTTAGGAATTCAAAGGTAAAAACAAATTTATTTTTATGTTATATAAATTATTATTACTTTTATTTATTATAGTAGTAATTTTATATTTATGCAATTTTTTTAAATTATTTAAAATTTTATTAATTAAGTGGTTATTGAGTACTTTATAATGTATATTACACAGATTAATTTATTAAGTTTAGTTTTTGAATATATAGGTATAATTATAATTTTGTTATTAATTTTAAGTTTCTCGGTAGGATTAATCATAGGTAGAAATACTTCGGTAATAAGATTGGAAAATAAAGATTTAGAAAGAATAAAGAACGCTATAAGAAAGGAAAGCAAGATAAGTCAAATAAATAATGTAGGGACAATTAAATGTTACAGTTGTGGAAAGTTCGGACACATGT